GAACTTGCTCGTGTTGGCTTGAGTTGGGACCCGGATCAATCCTATGGACTGATCCCCTCCTAAAGTTTGTATATTCCTGGGTAACTCGGGACTCAAGTGAACCGTCGAGAAGTGAGGCCTTGTTTAGTTCCACACTAAAATCCTAAAAAGTTATACAGTATCTGTCACATCGAATGTTTGCGGCCTATGCATGGAGCATTAAATGTAAACGAAAAAAAACTAATTGCACAGTTTGGTGAGAAATTACGAGACGAACGTTTTGAGCCTAATTAGTCCATGTTTGAACAATAATTGCCAAATAAAAACGAGCGTGCTACAGTAGCCCCAAATTCTAAATTCCTGAAACTAAACACGCACTGACTCAAGTTAACCTGTGAGAAGGTAATAAAATGATTGCTTTGTTTCAAAAAAAAAATGCATGTCAGCATGTCCCAGACGCGGAATCCTACGTGCACATGGTATACAGTAGCAACATACGCATACGTAGTACTTACGCAGTATCACGGAGAGTGTAGTGTAGTGTAGGTATATAAATAAAGTTGTCCACTGATGGATGCCCAAGAGCTAGCATGCAGCGGAAATAAAAAATGTAGGACATCGTCAGTGCGTGTCGTGTTTACGGGGGGATCCATCTTTATTACTACAGTTAATACGTACAGTATATATGTGTATTACGGCGCGGCCGGCCAGCGGTGGATAACAGTGTGTCTAGGAGAGTGTTATTGCGTACTCACGGCCGTAATATATATGTGTATCAATTTCACTGGGGCCTCACGGCCATCCAAATCTGATGGTTATTAATTCGTGAATCCATCTTGTGACTTTGTGATCAGTGACTGAGAGGAGGGTATAGCATACGTACACTTACTTTTGCTTGCTCCGATCCACAGCTCAGTTACATGTACACGTCACCCAGATATCAGTGATCCACTACAGCTACATACAGTGCTTGCTTGCTTGCTTGTACTGTACAGCAGTAGTGCTCATCAGCTCTCATTGTTGTGTCGTGTCCTTGTCCATTTCCCTCGGCAATGCAGATCGATCGGGTATGTACGGTGGTGGATACTACAATGCAATGCACGGTAGCAAGTAGCATAGCATCCCCCGTCGTCGTCAGTCCGTCAGTACAAAGCGCGCAAGCGCCAATTAAGCAGCAAGCAGATGGATGCATGGACCTCTCTGATCTGGCACCCACCAGTGGTCGGCGTTATCGATCGTTGCAAACAGGCAACACAATCCGCCTGACGATACGACGATGATGCGTGTACCGTCGAGCCTGACCGCGCTGCTGATGCATATACACGTACACGTCGAGGCCGCCCATGGATATCCCATCCTGTCCGCGCCCGCCCGCGCGCTTACTGTCCTAGTGTTTGCCGCCGCAAGCTTCGGGCCTGTTTAGTTCCACCAAATTATCAACTTTGGCACTATAAAAAAGAAGATTTCCTGTCACATCAAACTTGCAGTACATGCATGAAGTACTAAATGTTGACGAAATCAAAAATTAATTGCACAGTTTAGTTGTACTTTACGAGACAAACGTTTTGAGTATAATTAGTCAATGTTTGGACAATTGTTACCAAATAAAAACAAAAATGTACTGTAGCTACAATACCTTCACCAATTCGGGCGGCGCCGAATCAGGCACCAACTAAACGTGGCCTTCGTAGAGTTGGACTATACTCCGTACTAGTACTCTATTTATTTACCTGCCAGCCAGACTTCTCCATCGCAACAAATCTGCTTGCTCAGTCTTCTTCGGCCTACTAACTTCCATCAGATAAGGAACGGCGCCTTCACGAATAAATCTCTCTGCCGTCCTCCTAGTCGTCGTCGTCATGGCAGCTGGTCGTGGTGTGTATGCGCGCACATGTATGAAGTAGTGGCGATGTCACTTGATTAATCTTTTGCTAAAAAGTTGTCTGATGCGCCTTCGACATTTGTTGCATAAATATCCATGCCTGGATCTGAACCATGCAGAGTCGGCGTCCTTTCGGAATTCCTGCGCCCCACACTTGAGCGGCAATTATAAAGGGCTATGCATTGGATTGATAGACGACGACGACGACGACGACGACTGCAATAGTGTATGCATAGACGAAAGCAGGGACAACTTTCATGGCTTCTGTGACCTTTTACAATGCTGGTGCAAAGGCGGATGCACCTCTGAGACTGAGGCCATTGCTAGCACTCCGATCCGACAATGATACAATCGGCCTGTTCGCTGGTTGGTTTTTGGGCTGATAAGCTCGGCTGATATTGATTTATTGTGAGAGAAAAATACTATTGGCTAGCTGATAAGCCCTGGCTCCAACAAGCGAACAGGCTGAATGATCCCGTCTGAACAATGATTCGATCCTTCCTAGCCCTCGTCTAATAATAATATATAACATTGTATAGTCGATGTACCTACCGGCTGCTTACCTATGTTGTGTCGTGGACTTGTGGGTCAAAATAAATTTGTATTTTCTTGTGCAAATATTTGTTGATGATCAAAATTGTCATGTCAGGAAAAAATAGGTCACCTCTCTAAATACAAATTGGATTTTCCCATTGCGTAGCTCATGTCGAGCCGGTCAAAATGCATATATAGATCGCTCAATTTAGACTTGGATAAGAGAGTTAGGCTAATTATAAAATATGTACCAAGGGGAAAACCGGATATTCCAGTTTTTATTTCAGAATCAATTCTGAGCCTATTCTGAGCACATCTCTTGGTGTATTTAAATTCTTCACGAGGCAATACCTTCCCACCCTAAAAGTACTCAGGGCCACGGCCGATTGAGGGTATCCAATCGTTCAAAATCACATCTATAATATCCTTTTACCTTTTTCCTTAAGGTGTGGTTGCCATGATGGGATCCCTCCTAGATGAGCGTTCATTGGTCCTTGTAGGGCTCTCCAATGAAACCGGATCATATGGTTTTTAAAACCAGAGCTTCCAGTTTTACGCGGCAGCGCTGCAAGGCATGTTCGACTGTCACATGTGTTGGCATGACCCAAAATTATGTAACACATTTTTGTGACTCCGCTGGGGAAGAAAAATATCAATCGGTTACTATGTCCGGTTCTAATTCTCAGAAAGGTGAAGTTCACCTCTCGAACTGTAACACCCTAGTTTTAATTTTAGTAGGATTTTAAATTTTTTATAAATTTGTTTGAATTAATTAGCAAGTGTGGAACCATTTGAAAATAAAGTTTATTTTCTAAAATACAAATTATAGAATCATAGGTTATAAAACTTGATGGTGCATGTTTTTCCATCCATCAGTGGCGTTATCGTCGCACAAACAGGCAAGAAAATCCGCCCCACGACATGATGATGCATGTTTTTCCATCCATCCATATAATCCATCGGTCGTCCATTCGTCCCCATGCATGTATGCTTGCATATCGTCTCTCTTATCTGGAAGTGGACAGTGAGTCAGTGATGATGAGCAAAACGAATGTCTGTCTGCACCCGCAAACGAACAGGCGGCGTCTCGGCCACAGCATGGAGACGCGGCCGCGGCCGCCTCGTCGCCGTGCACGCCGCGCCGCGCCCAAGCCCAACACCACCACATACCGTTGATTGGAGCCTGATCGTGCCGGCAAACCGCGAGCGCACGGGCCGCACGGTACCGTGGGGACACTCTAGATCGGCACCTCAATAGAATCCTCACGCTTCTATACTAAATGGGCTAATTTGGATGGATTAAGAAGGATGTGGATTCATTCTTGAGGAGGGGGTTGTTCAAGGCAGCTGCAGCTCCTAGTACTCCTTCCGTTTAAGAAAGAATGCAGTTATGAGAATCGTGCCAGTTAAACTGGCTCAAATTTAACTAAGTTTATAATAAATAATATTATCATTTATGTTTTTAAATAAATTTATTATGAAAACATCTTCTATAACTAATAATCTAATGGTATTTATTTTGTCTCATGGATCTTAGTACTTTTTTATATAATTTTAGTCAAACTTTGGACTCTTTGAGAATTGCATTCTTTAGTGGACGGGGGAGTATATGCTAAATTATCACTGTACAGGAAATGGCCTAGTGGTTGCCACATTTTTTTAAAATTATACAGTACAACGCATATACCCATAACACGCATGTACATTAACCCCTGAACACACGTACGCAAACCTTATCTCTATGAGCACTTTCGAAGGACTTAGCCGGCAGATCTCGCCTACCACTAAAAGCATAGTGCCGTTAAATTCTAGAATAAATCTAGGAAAATACGAGCACCCACGCCGACTTGAACTCGGGTAGATAGGTTCCACCACATGAACCTAACCAACTAATCTGTGACTAGTTCACGTCGCATTTTTAATTTGCAGCAACTATGATCCGTTACCATTTTACTGATGGCTTGGAAGCTAAAGAGAAAGGCATATAAGCGGGATTTTTGCTGAAACAATCAACGGCCAGGATGGAGATGACTATATGAGATCGGTGGATGAACCAATGGTGATGATGTGACACAATGTGGAAGCAGAGAAATAGTGTTAGTGGGGTTTTGGTTTATACTCAGAAATATATCCGTGCGTCGTAACGGGAGAAAAAAAATGAAACAAGATATTACAGTGAGGATTAAATTGCACATGATCAATCCAACGTGGCTAATGTTGCAACGGTTCTCCATGTTGGCTAAATTTTTTTCTCGTTTATTTCAAAATGCCCCTTATGACCTGACACCCGCTCCTGTGTCTCATTGGCTTGTTGAGCATAACGCTATGTTAATGTCTCTTTTTATTTACTCTGCTGTCATACTTGTCCTCACACATTGCATGGCTGTTAGTTGCCTCACGGACATGGTGATATATAATATACATTTAGTTACTGAATACCAGGTTACTTTTCATTCAGCAAACTTTTACTTTAAACAAATAATCAATTTTCTGATGCTTAAAAGTAGAATCAAGAATTTTTAGCTGCTTTGGATATATATTTTTTAGTCCACCGAATGCAGCTTATAAAATATGCGACGTCACCGCAGCTTTCCCACTTGCCGGATCATGAATGCTCCATGATGTTCTTACTGCTTGCTGGACCATGAATGCTCACCATCTCATCTCCATCTGCAGAAACAACCTTTCTCTTCATTACCATGCTCCGATCAGGCATCACCAAACTGAAGAAAAGTCTAATAGTGCTCAGAATGATAAAACTGAAAAAACAGGAGAAACATAATGCCACACTATCTGAAATAGTTCACCGAAGGAGAGGCCATCATTATTTTAAGTGCAAAATTACACCATGAGAACTGAGGTTCTTCACTGAGAAGATGAGGAAAATAATCAAATTGTTGAATCTCTGTTTCCCATATCATTGGACAATGAGGTCTTAACAAACTCAATGCTAGTCATGACAGGCAGTCGGCAGTCACATTTGGCGCCCCTATGTATTTCACTGAAAATTCATAGCCAGATAAAGAACAGAACATTGAACCTGTCGCCAGCTTTCATCTTTATCAGTTCAAGCAGTGAAGGAAAAATTATAGCATGATTACTTTGCTTGCTGTATGGAACCTTCAAATGTAAACACAGGGACACAGTTTCTAATATATAATCCTAAAGTTGATATGTTAATATGCACTAATGATCCATATCTTATATAACAAAAGAAAATACTTGACAATCACTCGCTCTGATAGGCTAATATGAACCCTCAAACTTTGCTATCCATATTTTTGAAAACTGCTAGCCAGATTTTTCAAGTTTGGTCTTATGTGTGGATGCTAATTCCCTCATGGGGAAATCAACATCACCAGTACGATGTGGAAGGTTGGGAACTCCATATAAGCCAAGTACACACATGAATCAAAGACGCAAGGGACAACAAATCAGTCCTTAAAAAGTAGTTTGAAAGCTAGTACGCATTTTTTTTTGTGTAGTGAATTTCAACTCCTTGGGATTGTCTTTTGTCAAGACATAATCATTTCTTTCCAGTACGACCATGAATTTTTTTTCCTTATAATTGAGTTTGATTCTGTCTGCAACTTCATGTGCGCAGATATAAAATCTTGCAAAGTTAAGCACCTATCAAAAAGAAGAAAGAAGGTAACTGCCTCCTGAATGCAATGCAGTGATACTAATGTCTTGGCTATTCAGATATGTATTAAATAGCATATGATTGAAATAAATAAAAAAATGGTTGTTTCTGAATCTAAGATATGTGAATTTATCATCACACCTGCTGTGTAGACAAGTGCAGTAGTAATGTAGCATGAACATCCTTTATCATCAAGTACCTGGAGTACATTGCATGAAAGTAAGAAACTTAGCATATCATCAAATCATTGAGCCAATCATCAGCTTTATTGTTGCGCAAATCATCAGCTATCTTGGACCCGAAATCATGCCAAATTACCTCTTCAAACCTACAACTAACATTTAAAGAATGGTGTAAATTGAAGTTTAAAACATCAGCTAATTGCCGGACTACAACAAGAAGGAAAATCAATTCATAATTGGGACTTACCCTTTCTTTTTTGGCCCTTCTGTGCCGTTGCTGCAGCAGAACGGTGTCCATCCTAGGCGTGGTGCTCTGCTAACTGGTTGTGCGTGGTGGAATGATCAGGATTCAGGGATTGCCTTGCCGGATTGCCGGATTGGTCACTCATCAGTGGACACCTGGTGTCCTGGACGATGGAACTTGGAAGCACGAGTGCTTGTGCACTATGGTCGATGGAAGCTGGACGGACTGACGGGAAACTGAATCGCCGAGCGCCATGTATGCAGAAGCTCTTCACCTTCCGCCTGGGCCTAGGGGCGTGCTCTTCCATCACGCGGACGCGGCCCAATAGGGCTAGCTGCGGTACCCCTTCGGCTTCACTCGTCCACACGGGGTTCGTCTTCCTCTGTCCATCTGTACTCGCAGAAAACAGAGAAACAGACTTAGAGAAACAACTGCAGATGTCGTCGGCCATGGCTGCCAGATCCGGGTGCAGGCGGGGAGGCTAGCCGGCGAGGAGGTCTGGCGGCCGCCAGAGCTCGTCATATTGGTGGATCCACCCTGATCTGAGCAGGCTCTCCCTGCATTGATGGATCCTCTTGGAGAGATCCAATGATCCAACCAAAATCAGTAATATACTGGATAATTGCCCGTGGGTTTGCACAGGGGCAACAAAATTTGTATAAATTTTTTTGAGGCCAAGTCAAAATGAAGACCCCAATTTGCACACGTTATATATGAGAATTACCAAGTGTGATCAGGTTAGCGGGTTAGCCGACGTTGTCATTTGTCTGGACTCGACAATGATTTCAATTCCGTGCACGATAGACTGTTGGAACGGACCAACTCGTTGTGGATGTCCTGGCTTGCAGCCCATGCAGCTGAGTGTTTTATTTCTAGTCTAGGGCATGACATATATGTATTGGTTGCCTAAGTCCTGACAGATTAAACTTGTTTATATGGTTGTATTGATACATTTTTTTATAGCAACAATGATCACTGTCTTTTCAACAATATTTATGTTGCCCAGTTTTTTTTAATGTAATCTTCTCGTACAATAAAAAATTTATATTATTTTATGAGTTAAATGCATCATTGCTCCATTAACTTTTACCCATATTTCACTTAGGTCCATCAACTACGAAAGTGGTTTTTCAGGTCCATAAACTTTTTGAAGTGGTGCATCTCTAGTCCATACTCCTTCGTTTATCTTTTTAATCTGTTGTGGCAGTCCACGGTGTTGCTGATCTATCTTCTACAGCTAGTCCACGGTCAGCACGGGCGGCGGTTCAGGCTCCTCTCCACTCGGGCTGTCCGTGGCATCTGCTTCCAAGGCCCTCGCTTGTGCCATCTCCTTCTCGATCATCTCGATCCGCATCGCTATCTCCTTCTCGCCGCCGTGCAGCGCCTCCGCCGCGGCCACCTTCTTCTCGGCGACGATCCGGACGACCTCGGGGCGGCCTGTCAGGTACTTGTCGGTGTTTTGGAACCGGGGGTCCCTCAACCAACGAGTGAATTTGTGCTGCGTGCCCCTAATCCCGGATGGTGGCGCAAAGAGACACAAGGTTTATACTGGTTCAGGCAATCGAGGCCCTCGTCCGGTCAGAGATCGATCTTGTATTCCTTGCACCGGAGTGCTCGTAGTAGGGGGTTACAAGCTAGGTGAGAGAGGGAACTAGCCCCAGGTCTCGGCGAGTGTGGTGCGGGCTGCTTGAGGCGTTGTTCCCAAGCAGCGTAGGAGTGCGTGGTTCTATCGGCGTGTTCGTCTGTCTGGCCTCCCTCCAGAAATGGCCCCAGTCCCTCCCTTTTATACTCTAAGGGAGGACCGGGACCGTGCTGCAGTGCTACATAGCGCGCTTGTAAATGGGGTGGCGTGTCCGAGCCCTGTAGTCGACCCTTTGTTGTGGTATGGTCGATGGAGTGGCCCGTCCTTGTCGTCGGAAGTGACATCTTTGGTCATACTCGGTCTTGTCGTCGTGGGGCTCGATGCGGCTTGATGCGAGGACATGGCGGGCGGCGTCGTCTTGGTCGCCGATGTAATGGCGTCGGGGGAAGCGGTGGCTCTGCGAAATGCCGAGGCCGAGCCATCGTGGGGGCTCGGTGGTCATGGACCCTCAGTGCCGAGGCCCGTGAAGCAAAGTGTCGAGGCCTTGGGGGAGTTATTGGCCTGGTGCGATTCCGAGGCCACGATAGCCAGACGTGGCTCCCCATGCTGCGTTGTCCTGGGGCGGGAGTTGGCGGCCATAGTGAGGCATGGGTGTCAACCATGTGTGCAGTGGATAGCATAGTGACGGGTAACCCCTGCCCTTGATCCGGGGACGTGCGAGTCATCAGCGCGTGATGGCGTCGTGGGGGGTGTGGCTCTGTAGGTGCGAGGCCAAGCCATCGTGGGGGCTTTGGCGGACATGGGTCCTCGGGTGTCGAGCCCCTGGAGCAAGCTGCCGAGGCCTTGGAGGGAATTATTGCTCACTGGTGCGATTAGAGGCCACGATAGCCGGATGTGGCTCCCCATGCTGCGTTGTCCTTGGAGCGGGAGTTGGCAAGATGAGTGAGGCATGGGTGTCAACCCATGTGCCTGCAGTGGTTAATCTGATGGCGGGTAACCCCGCCTTGATCCCGCCTCTGTCCCATCGGCCATTCTCTTGCATCTTGTCTTGCGGGCATGTGGGCACATTGTCGGGGCAGCGATTGGTGAGTTGATGCGACCTGACGTTTTGCGGAGGGGCGGGGGAGAAGGAAGAGGTAGCGTAGTCTTCTGCGAGAGCCGCCTTCTTGTGAGGCAGGGGTCGGTGGCCTCGGCCGAGGCCTTTGGCGGGGAATCGACCGAGGCCCGTGGTGAGGGGGCCTCGGCGAATCGGAGAATCGGTGAGGTCATGGTGATGGGGCCTCGGGCGAGTCGGAGAATCGGTGAGGTCCATGATGATGGGGCCTTGGGCGAGAGGAGAATCGGCCGAGGCAATGACGTTAATTTGGTTTCGATCTTCTGAAATCTAAGCGATCGTTTTTGGATCTTGCTTAGGGTACCCCTTCTCATGGTATCAAGCAGTAGCCCCCGAGCCTTGGGGAGTGGAGGCACTCCCCCGAGGTTCGGCGAGAATTGGCTCTTGATAGCTCTGTCGGGATGGTGTTTTGTTTTCGAGTTTTTTGGTGGTGCTGTGGGCCTGGTGAGTGTCCCGAGGCCTGGAGGAGTGATTTCGCTTCTTCTTGGGGCTTTTTTCTCTTCAGTGAGGCGTTTTGATCGTGTTTGCGGGCCCGTAGGTGCGAGTTCGGATCGCGGGGCCTCGGCGATGTTGCTGGAAAGAGCCCCTTAGCCTCCGCTTTGGGGCGAGAGGGCCGTCGGGGGTTCTCCGGCTTTTTGTACGACCCTCGTGCTTCCTTCTCGCGCTCGGAAGGAGGGTGAAAGATGCCATGCTACCCTCGGTGGCGCGGCGATGGTATCTCCGGTGAGCTGTTATCGGGTAAGTCCAGTGGAGGCCCGTACCCGTTCATTTGGGGGTCGGCTAGCGGTCCGGAGGCAGCGCTCCAAAGTCTGGGAGGGTTTCTCTAGTGGGGTGCCGAGGCCGTTCATTTGGGCCTCGGTGGCTCGGTGCCCCCCACGGTGGGATCCCATTCGGAGACCTCCCTACCGGTCTCGGACACAACACAGGCGTGCTCGTGCAGGCTCGCCCGTAGTAAATCCCGACTCTTTTGCCCTGGGGCAGGTTGCCGAAACCCCAGGGGCCTGACTTTGAACCCTGGACCGTAGCAGGATTGGGTCGCTTGTTTTTATCTTGGGTGCAGGAAGAGCCCCGAGCCTCCGCAGACGGAGGCGAGAGGCGGTCAGGGTCCTCCCGACTTTTTGCCCGTCCCCGCCCGATCCTTTTTCGCTCGGACGGGGGGCTGTTTCCGAGCCCACTCGTGTGCGAGCTGAGCAGCCAGGTCTCGGCAAAGTTGCAGGAGGAGCCCCAGAGTCTCTCGCCTGCGGAGGCGAGAGAGGCGGTCGAGGTCCCCCGGCTTTTGGTTCGCCCCTCATGGCGTGAGGTCGGCTGCCGAGCCCCCCTCGGGGTGCGAGCCTAGGTCATGAGGTCTCGGCGTCTTTTGCGAGAAGGAGCTCCTAGCCTGCACTTGCGGAGCACAAGAGGGCCGTCGGGAGTTCTTCCGGCTTTTTGAGCGACCCTCGCGCTTTCTTTTTCGCTCGGAAGGAGGGTTGGTTTTTGCGAGACCCCTCGTGTGCGAGCTCAAGTCGTTGGGCCTCGACAGCGTTTTGCGGGGAAGAGTCCCTTAGCCTCTGCTTGCGGAGCAAGAGGGCCGTCGGGATTCTCTTGACTTTTTATTCGACCCTCGCGCTTCCTTTTCGCTCGGAAGGAGGGTGGAATGTGCCATGCTACCCTCGGTGGGTATGGCGATGGCACTTCCGGTGAGCTGTTATCGGGTAAGTCCGAGTGGAGGCCCGTACCCGTTCATTTGGGGTCGGCTAGCGGTCGGAGGCAGCTCCAAAGTCTGGGAGGTTTCTCTAGTGGGTGCCGAGGCCGTTCATTTGGGCCTCGGTGGCTCGGTGCCTCCCTACGGTGGGATCCCATTCGGAGACCTCCCTACCGGTCTCGGACACAACACAGGCGTGCTCGTGCAGGCTCGCCCGTGGTAAATCCCCTGACTCTTTTGCCACTGGGCGGTTGTGAAACCCCAGGGCCTGACTTTGAACCCCTGGACCGTAGCGGCTTGGGATCGGGTCGCTTGTTTTTTATCTTGGGTGCGGGAAGAGCCCCGAGCCTCCGCTTGCAGGCGCGAGAGGCGGTCGGGGGTCCTCCGACTTTTTGCCGTCCCCCGCCCGTCCTTTTTTTGCTCGGACGGGGGGCTGTTGCCGAGCCCACTCGTGTGCGAGCTGAGCAGCCCTGGTCTCGGCAAAGTTGCAGGGGAGAGCCCAGAGTCTCTCTCGCGGGGCGCGAGAGAGCGGTCGAGTCCCCCGGCTTTTGGTTCGCCCCTCGCGTGAGGTCGGCTGCCGAGCCCCCTCGGGTGCGAGCCTAGGTCATGAGGTCTCGGCGTCTTTTGCGGAAGGAGCTCCCTAGCCTGCACTTGCAGACAAGAGGGCCGTCGGGAGTTCTTCGGCTTTTGAGCGACCCTCGCGCTTTCTTTTCGCTCGGAAGGAGGGTTGGTTTTGCCGAGACCCCTCGTGTGCGAGCTCAAGTCATTGGGCCTCGGCAGCGCGTTTTTTGCGGGAAGAGTCCCTTAGCCTCTGCCTGCACGGAGCAAGAGGGCCGTCGGGGATTCTCGACTTTTTATTCGACCCTCGCGCTTCCTTTTCGCTCGGAAGGAGGGTGGAATGTGCCATGCTACCCTCGGTGGTATGGCGATGGCACTTCCGGTGAGTGTTATCGGGTAAGTCCGAGTGGAGGCCCGTACCGTTCGGCTGGGGTCGGCTAGCGGTGGAGAGCGCGCTCCAAGAGTCTGGGAGGTTTCTCTAGTGGGTGCCGAGGCCGTTCGCTGGGCCTCGGTGGC